TTTTTTTTTTTTTTTTTTTTTTTTTCTTCTTTTTTTTCTTTTTTTTTTTCTTTTTTTTTCTTTTTTCTTCTTCTTTCTCTCGCGTTACGTGTATTATATGCGGTAATGGCCATTTTGCCCGTACAGTGACATTTTATGCTTCGTACGAAAATAATGAAATCTCGCGAATTCTTTTATCCATTCCGTTTTTCGCGTAATCTTTTAATAAAACGCTTTTTAACAATTTATCCGCGCAACTTGCTCCTTTGATACGATGGGATAACCCTAAATTCCATCTCTTTATAATTCATTGATTTCACGCTCCACCAATTTTAATCAACTTTTCTAAACTTAATATACTACTGTGCACGGGTTAATGTATCACGTTTAATATCATGAATGATGTAAGGACTAGATAACCGACAAACAAGAGAAGATATCTAATTATATCGAATGGAATATCGGGATGGTATATATTCAATTTAATATTTCATATTTCAACCCAAGCGTACGTATTATTACGTATTATTCAATATTTTATGGGTAATGATTAATTGAATAATGATATGTATTACAAATTTCAATCAAGGAATAAAATACGCGTAATTCGAAATAAAAATTCAAAGTGTATCGTGGGATTGATCGTTGTATCACATTATTGTTTCGACGATCGCTGAAACGAAAGAAAGAATTAAGCTTGATTTCCAATGTCAATACTTAAAAAAAAAAAAAGAGAAGAAAAAAAAAAAGTTTTCCAATCAAATTCTTTTTTCCAATTCACTTTCCTTCCCTTATAATTTCTCCCCTTCTCTCGCATCACTTTCGTCTTACACTACCGGTCCCTCGACCTTTAAGCTCCTCCGTCGGCATGAAAAGCACGAGTGATTAAGTTATAAACTTGGCAAGACGTCCGTTTGAGTGAGGAAGGGGCTTACTTCATTTATGTAATTTATAGTACTCTGCCAGTCGGCTAACTCCACGGAGCCTGAGCACTCTCCTTCTCCCTTTCTCCCTTCCCCTCCTTCCTCTCTCACTCTCACTCCATGACACAAAGGCCATGCCCTGACACCGGTAACATTTAACTACTTCCTGTTAGAGTCTACCGAGCGTGCACACAACGTCCGGACACAAGGGCCAACCCAGAAGTATTCACCGATATTATTCGTCTTTTAAAGCGTGGCCTAATATCCTGCAGGATATTACAAAGTCGTCTTCCTTTAAGAGGTATTAAAAAGTTATGACAGACTCGTTCACGGTGAAGCTCACACGTCCTTCAGTCACTTTTCGCCTGCTGGGATAAAGTCGGCGGTATGCAGCCGGCGATATGATGTATGCGAAATATCGCATGAATTTATAATATGGCCGACACCGTGTAAAATACGGCTTCGAACGTGTACCACCTTCGTACACGGGCGAAATGAAATTACATTGTTTCATAAATTCCGTACGCGTTAAACGACTCGATGGTACTCGTTTAACGGGCTGAAATGTAACATATAAGGTA